TGACCCGTTGCCTTGGACCCAAGTGACTTTGGATTCGAGATCACTGATTTTTTCGAACTAGATGCAAAGTTTTGAATTTTGAATGGAATTTTTGAAAAAATTTCAGAATCTCAGAATCTCAGAATCTCAGAATCTCAGAATCTCAGAATCTCAGAATCTCAGAATCTCAGAATCTCAGAATCTCAGAATCTCAGAATCTCAGAATCTCAGAATCTCAGAATCTCAGAATCTCAGAATCTCAGAATCTCAGAATCTCAGAATCTCAGAATCTCAGAATCTCAGAATCTCAGAATCTCAGAATTTCAGAATATCAGAATCTCAGAATCTCAGAATTTCAGAATATCAGAATCTCAGAATCTCAGAATCTCAGAATCTCAGAATCTTAGAATCTCAAAATCTCAGAATCTCAGAATCTCAGAATCTCAGAAAAATCATTTTTTCGTCATTTTTTTGTTTGTTTGTCCTTCTCTTCTCTATTTCTCTGGCACCCTCCTCTTCTTTCGAAACTCTCGCGGTCGTAAAATTTTCTGTGTTGCCCTGTATTGCGAAACAAAATTTGTATTAGTTTTTAACAAATTCACCTTCAAATGTTTCCAAAATCTTGAATTATTTTCAGAATGTCGCTACAAGAAATGCCGGAAAAAGTTTTAAATAATTTGATGAATTTTTTGGACTTTAGAGAGATGTGAGTTTTTAAAAAAGTAATACGATTTTTTGTATTTTCAAAATTAAAAAATTTCCAGACTAACTCTCCGGAATGTGTCTCATAATCTCCGAAACCATATTGACAAGACCAAACCGGATTTTTCGATTATCCTAATTTCCATCCACGCGGATTTCAATAATCAGAAAAACCAAATTTGGCTCAAGACCCAAGACGACGAACATTTACAAGTTGCATATCAAAAAGAAGAAAATGGCACTCAACTTTCCTGGGATCAAAAATCGAAATTTCTGGAAAATGTCAACTATTCCAGTGTATTTTTCAACGATTTTTCAAGGATTCTGGACCATCAAAAATCAGTTTTAACCGAAATAAAAATTGCGGCTCATGTGATTCCGGAAGATTTGAAAAAAGTTTTAAAATCTCGAAAATCTCCAATAAAAGCCAATAAGCTATTGATGGAAACCACTCATCAATCTCAAGTTTTGGAAGTTTTACCATTTATGGATATCGAATTTCTGAAGGAAATCGGAATCTATGAAATTCGGCAAAACACGGTTCAAGAGCTCTGGAAAATCGATAAAATCGTAGAAACTAGTTACTGGAAAAGAGCTGAAATTTTTGAAAGCCTCGGATTCCACGTGGATGTTTCAGTGGAAAATTTCAAGCATTTTTCGAAAGGGACATGGAGTGTGAGCGCGATTTCTGCCGAGGATTTGGACTTTTTGAAAACGGTAACCTTGTTTGTTTTCTTCAGAATATAATTTTTAAATTTTCAGAATTTTCTCCAATTGCCAACATTCAAGTTCTGTGTCATTTATTATCAGATCTTTAAGAACCTGGATCAATTATTAGAACTTTTTGGCGCACCATTTATTATTTACGACTTGGGAAAAGAAAATCAAAAGCGATGGTATTTCAAGTTCCCAGATAATTCTGTTTTGAATATTTTACTAGTCCCATCTATGATTTTTCTGACTCGAATCGAAAAAAATGAAGTTCCGGAAGGAGCGGAAATTGTTGGTTCTGAATAAATGTCTTTGTTGTGATTTTTTGCTTCTTTTTTTAATGGTTGTCGTCACCATAAACAGTTTTCCAATGATTTTTTCTTATCACACTTTATTGTTGACATCACTGATAATTCACTAACATTGAAGTCGACGATTGGCAGAATATTCTGAAAATCAACCTAGAAATGCCAAAAAAGCAGCGATATTCTTTGGCTGATATGCCGGAAAAGGTGATTATGCTGATTTTGGAAAACTCCGATTTTCGATCTATGTGAGTAAAATTTTTTGAACAGTCATTGAAAATATAACATCCTCAAAAGTTAAAAGATGATGTTTTTTTAAATGTATAAACGTGGAGAGTTACAGTCAATTTTTGAAATATTAGAAAAACGGAAAATGTGTAAAAAATACTTCACATAGAAATTTCTCAATGTCAAAATCTGAAATTTTCAAAAATGAAAAATGTTAGAATTTTTGAATTTTAGATTTTTCGAATTTTAGAATTTTGAGGTTTTAGAATTTTAGTATTTTAGCATTTTTATATTTCTTTTCAGCCTGAACCTCCGGAAAGTTTCTTACGACCTGAGGAATTTCATAGACGAGAAAAAACCGGATTTGCAACTGGAAATCATTCAAATTCATATCGACAGTTCTCGAGTCAAAATGTACCTTCATGATTTATCAAAATCCAAACCAGCACAAATCGAATATCTGAAAGACAAAGGAAGATACGAGGAGAAAATTCCAAAAAATCGGAAACCCTGGAAAGCAATTGTTCTAAAATACGAAGACATTCTGGAAACATTTTGCAATGATTTTCAAATAACTTTAAATCTTCAAAACACAAAAATCTTGCAAAGTTTCAGTTTGACTGCCTCTGAAATCCCAGAAGAATTCAAGAAAGTTTTGAAAGCCAATCCTCTGAAAACTGAATGTTTTGCAATTACCACAAGCGGCCCAAATGAAATCCTGGACGTTATCTCTTCTATCGATTCTGGGAATTTGAAAGAAATTTGTTTCTATAACATTGACGAGTTGCCCGAAGAAGTTTGGGATTTTGAAGAAATCGTGAAGCTCGAGCAATGGAAGAATTCAGCAATTCTAGAGATGGTTCAATTTTATGTGCATTTGGAAATTTGGAATTTCTTGCATTTTTCTCAAGCTCATTTTCGAATTTTGGAAATTACTGTAGATGATATTTTCGAATTGAAAAAGGTACCTCTGTTTGCTGGTTTGTCTGAAATTTTTGATTTTTTTTTCAGAATTATCTCCTGATGCCATCTTTCAAATTTGTTCACGTGGAGTACAAAAACCTGATTGGCGAAATTTATGAAATGGGTGCTACAGAGCTTGGAAACCACCAAAAATGGTTGTTCAAGTTTCCAGAAAATTCTGAATTTGTTCTTGAAGTTTCGTTGTCTCCTAAGAATCTATATTTTCGAAAAATTCCAGTTTCCCATGTTCCAGATAGTGCTCTGATTTGAAATTTTCCTCCAAAATTCGCGGAAATAAATTGTCTGAAATTTCGAATTGAAATAAGGAAATATTTATCATTATTTTCAAAAAAACCTCGGAACATCAAACTTGTTTCGTCGGGTAAGTAATATGACTAGAATTAGAATTATTAAATGTACAAAAATTCAAAGCTAATTAATTAATTAACTAATTAACTGAATTCAAAATATTGGTAGGAGATTCTGCTCTTTTGTGATTTCTCGAAATCGGGCCTATCGTAAAAACCGGAGAATTTGGGGTATAATTTTCCAGGTGCGTGGAATTTCGGCGAACAATTTTTTCGGGTATCAGGATACAAATATTTCCTTCTGATGGATGTTGATTGAGGTGACGTTGAAGTTGGGTTGAGTCGATTTTCAGCTCGATCTGTAAACTTTCATTTTTAAGTAATTTCTAAAACTCTAAAACCCTAGCACTCAAAAACTCACCGAACTGGAAGTAGATAATGTGTCATCTTGATTATTATATTCAAATTTGTTTGGTATTTCACTGATCGGAGCAATTTTATGAAAATTCGAAAGTGAATAGATATTTTCCCTTGAATTTTTCCGAGATCTCCTCTCTTGGAATTCCTTCACAGCTTCATCCAATTGTTGTTCCTTCACTTTCTCTGTAGCCTTCTTAGAATACATATACTGACGTCTTCTTCTCGAAACAATGATCCAAAAAATTTTGGAAAAGAATAGGGATAACTCTGTGATAGTGATAACAGACATTCCCAAAAACATTCCCATATTTCCTCCAATATCCGAAAGAACTTGAGTAAACGATGTTGCTTGTACTTGGGAATACGATGTGTAGTACATTTCAGCAAAGAAGATGTTGATGATTGCCAAGTTGTTCTTAATATGAGCTTCCGTTTTGTTACTGAACTTTTTGAGCCATAACAGAGATCCTTGATTGAAACCATCTCCATAAGAATTGTATGATGTGTAGCTTGTGCTTTGGCATTCCATATGACACTCTTCACAGTCTGGAAGCTCCAAATATTCCGATCCATTGACTTTTCGAATCATGTGCTTGTCCATACAAGTTATCGATTCATACGGCGCGCAGATTCGGTGTTCTGAGAATCGGTATTTCAGAAATATAAACAGTTGCTCATTCTCACTTCCATCCACGTTATAGGTAAACGGAGCACATCCACAAGTCTTATTAAAATGCTCAGCGATACACAATGCACGACAGGCAGACGCAGAATAGGACAGTTTAGTTTTGTAACTTGGAGGCCAATTCTCAGAGCAGTTTCCCCATTCTCGTGGGCTTAGCAAGTTGTGCTGTAAAAAGTTAGAAAGTTTGAATTTTGAAACTTTCGAGTTTTTCGAATGTTAGAGGTTCCAGGAATTTCTGAATTTCTGGAATTCTGAAGTTTTGAGTGTTCGAACTTTCGAATTTTTTGATTTTTTGAGTTTCATAGTTTCAGAATTCCAGAATTTCTAGTTTACTGAATACAATGAAAAAAATTTGGACTACTTTTTCAGGACTTCAAATTGGACAAGTCAAAATTCGGTAAATTTTTGCCCAGTACTGTACCTAAGCGAAAGAAAAATTTGACCTACCGACACAGCCTTAATCGCGGAGTACACATTTCTGGATGGCGAAACACTAATGCCTTCAGAAGACAACTCAGCGTTGGCACCTGGCGGGTGCACATAGTATCTGAATCCATTCTCATAAATATTCGAAAATATCGCCGACGCATCTGAATCCTCTCCTCTTAATTCATCTTCCAGCTGAGCGTCAACAATCATCTGAAGTCCCGCTCCCGATCCTGGTGAGATCTGTTTTTTCATCCATTCTGGTGCTAGATTCTGAACATCCAACTCGTAACATTTTCCGAGCGATGTGATTTTTGGTTTCATGTATTTACAGCAATCGAACCTTCTTCCACCGAAATAGCATGTCAAGAACATTTCTCCACAGTCATAACCCGCAGTTCTTAAGAATTTGATGGTCCGAAAGTCGGTATGGTTTTGAAAGTAGGTTTCTGCCTGATCGTGAGTTTTCTTCAAATTATGTCTATCCAGGTTACTGTACAGGAACATTGCGTCCATATTAGTTTGTAACAAATATTCCAATGTTGCTCCTGTCAAGTCTCCAGAAGCGTTCAATTCCCTGACATACGACTTCTTGATAGGGTTGAAACTGCAAACAGTGACGGCTGGAAAATCCATTCCTCCCTCGTTGACAATAAATGAAACTTGAGACAATGTGGGTTTTGAAAAGTACATTTCCAAAAGAAGATACGTTTGAAAACATAACAATGCTAGGGCGGAGCCAACGATAAGAATCCAGAAGGCTCTCGCGAATCTTTTTCCGTAGTATATCCGTTTGGGACCATGCATGGTAGTTGTGCCTGAAAAAATATCATCTTTGATGGATCAGGATTACTGTATGCTTACTTGAAAAATGTTTGGTTTCTCTATCCGCTGAATCCACTGTGTTAATTTTATTTTTATTTGAGTTCTGGGATACAACCAATTGATTTGTGAGCCTGTTTGGTGAGCTCCTGCAAATTCAGAATCTTTTTTCTATTCTATCAAAGTTTGTTTTTGGTTTTTCAACTTATGACCAGCCAAGTACCTTCCTTCGATCTAAACACGTCATTCAAATGACCGGTCAGAATTTTGATTGAAAATTGGTGAGACTGGGTCATTTCTATCAGCCTCTCCCCGTTTTCACACACTATTTTGTCGGGCCCGATGCAGTATAAATATGCAAAAGCGTAGTCGACATTTTCTCTTAATTCTGAGACATTACCTTATTCTGTTTATCTTATTTTTGAGCTCAATTATCTCGGTTGCTATCAGTTATATCAAACATTTATCAACTGGCAATGTGTTGGTAACATTATGAGAAACATTTTGTTTTACAGGTTTTTGATATGTTTTATAGGATCAATTTATCTCATTCCTTGTAACAGATATCAAAAATTGGTCAACTGACAAAATGTTTATAATTTTATCAAGAACATTTTGCCAATTGACCAATTTTTGATATTTTTTGCATGGATTGAGATAAATTGGTTCGAAGTTGACGGTCAGAAAACATTCTAAATTACAGTGCTCGCGTGAAACTACCGTATTCGCTCTAATGAACACTCACCCAAACCGTCAACTTTAAGCTTAATTATCTCGGCTTCTTCGGAAGATATAAAAAATTGTCAACTGATAAATTATTTATCATGATATTACCAATATTTTATCAGTTGTCAACGTTTCCATAGCTTTGACAGGAGCCGAAATAATTGAGCTTAAAATTGACGGTACTTGGAGTATTCTATTCAAGTTCACATTACTGAATTGTTTGATATTTCGACTTTTAAAATTTAAAATTTTTCTTTTTTTAGCTTTTTCTTAAAATCTAGTTTTCAAAACGCACTCACCATTCTTGCGTCGTAACATCCGAATCATATCCAGAAAACCGTCTGGATCCTTCAGATCCAGGTCGTTTAGGTTCGAGATACATGACCATCTCTCGAAACTGATCAAAGTGACCGGTCAGAATGAAATTGAGAAAAAGTGTCAATTTCGACAATCATAGGAGGTTGCAGAAAAGAAAACGTTGACACCTTCTGAAGAAAATAGTGTATCAAAAAATTACTGCGAGAGAAGTCAGACGAAAAACGGAAACCGAATTGGAATTCCCCCGACACACGCGCGTTTTTTATAACTGCTGATCGAATTGATACGATCAGAATAAGAAAAGAAAATCAAAGAAAACACCGATTGTTTTTTCAAGGGTTACGGTAGATAGCAGTTAGGAAGATAAATGGCTAAACCGTAAAAAAGAGGAAGTTTGAAAATAAAAAGTTCAGATATCCATTTTTCGTATCTTTTATCAAAACTTTTACTGGTCAAAATCAAACAAGTAAAAATCACAAATGAGACAAAATAAATGAAGTCATGAAGACAAAGAATAGTTTCAAAAAAAATGATATCATTTGTCAGTTCCAACGTTCCTTATAGTTAGGCGTCATGAGTCATGGTCCAGACATAAAATTTTAAAAATTTATCTTTTCAAGTTCAAAACATGGCAGACGCAATTCTCGATGCATTATCCTTTGCTACCAAAAACTTCGAAGTCGGTAACGTCGTCGTGAATGATTTGTTTTTAACTGTAGAAATCAACCATAAACGGTAGTGTCGATTGAAGTACATCATGCTCAATGTGCCAAGAAAAGTGTGAAGAGAGCAGAAGATTAGGGAGATGAAGAAGATTACTGAAAAAAAGGTATTGAGATCCAGAACTTGGAGAATTTGAGATTAGGAAACTTCGATGTTTTCTTCTTTTTTTTTTTTTGAAAACTTTGAGCGGACATATTAGAACTGACGGCTTCGCAACAACATAACTATAGACACACAACGTTTTAGGAACATGATTCTTTAGAACCGGGCTGCTTCAGACCGACGTATTTAAACTGATAATTTTGCAACTCCTTCGGTAAAAAAACGCGACGTTCCAGAACCGTGGTGTTTCGATACCGCGACGCTTCAAAGCAACATCATTTCACTACTGTGACGTTCTAGAACTGATCATTTCAGAACGGTTGCGGCACCGTTGAAAAAACTAGTAGAACAAAAAAAAAACAAGAAAAACACAACCGCGTAGTCCTCGTGGATCAAGTTTTTAACCAGTTACTCAAAAGCTCTTACCGGTAAGTGAAAATCAGTGACCACACACGGACGGCGAGTTTTTTTAAAAATCTGTTATCTAGGCCGACCGGACTGGGAATTTTTTTTTTGCTGTTTGGTATAATCGGCTTGCTGCAAACTCACTTTGAAAGAACTCACTTTGAGTATTAGGGATTGAAAACATCAGAGGACCGATGACGGCTAGAAGAGGAACATAAAACGCAACGATTGGAATGGAGATCTGAAACTTTTTGTAGTTTTCAAAAGTTTTGCTTACCACAACTCACCTGATAACAAAGACTCTTTATCAATTGCAAATGAATTTTTCTTGTCTTCACAGATAGATCAAATCTATGAAGGGACCGATTGGATAACCATATCAACAGGATCACAGTAGCGAGTCCCAATGCAAGTCTCAGAAAACACGAGGCCAGAAAAAGTGCATGTTTGAGTTCGACAATGACACATACAAAATAGACATGCTCATCGATAATTAGATACTGTAGTTCTGGGTATAATCTAGCGAATTGGGCTTTGGCAACTTCTTGATCGGGAACTGCATAATGGAAACTGATAATCATCATTGTTATCAGAAATACTTGATATAGGAAAACTAAAATTACAGATGAAAAAGTGCTCAATTTATGTTTATGATTCATGGGGAGAATAATTTGATATCGAAGGAAAAATAATAGTTCAACACTTCCAGCGGTAATGTATAAGGACACAAATACCATTATCTGAAATTTCAATGATTTTTTTTGAAAAAAAAAGTGATATGATACTCACACACTGGGCCTCGGTGCTTTTCTGGAAACCCAAAAATTGAAAAATATGGGTCAGGATTCCATGGGGTCGACCAATTGGGAATGGAGAGTAGATGACTGGCAATGTGCCAATGTTGATGAAAAAATCACTGGTTAGGGAGCAGATCTGAATATTTTTCGTTTATTTTTCAGCAGTTACTGTAAACTCTCTAATAGAACGACCACCAACCTGAAACGTCAACAAATGCCATCTCAATGACGCGAGCTGACTTTTTTGACAGAATAAAATAATTAAAACCCCAATTATATTAATTGGTGTAGTGATAATTGCAGTGAAATGCATACTATAAATGTACCAGTTGGGTCCAACTTCAATGGGCATTTTCTAGAAGAATAAGGCGGAAATATACAACTTGAAACTTCAAAATTTCAAAACGAATACTAAGAAAAAGCCAAGTAGCAGAACATCAGTCGTCGTAATCAGAGAACAAAACAGGCGTAGGAAAATGTGATATATGTCACGTGGTAGATTTTAATGAGGTTTTATGTATGTTCGAAAATTTGGGAGATTCTTTTTCAAATAAAAAAAACAGGGTATTCCAAAAATTGTCTGAAATTCTTAAAACTTGAAAAAGTAGTGTCTAACAGTATATGTAGACGTACGTTGATGTGTCTAAACTACGCCTAGACTTTCAAAATTTTCCGGTTCACTAGATCTGAAAGTCTATTAGTCATCGAACTACACTTTTGAGGCTCGAATTTCTTAGAATTAAAAAATACATTCAAACCACTAAATCATTAAATCATCCACGTGCACTCCAAACTTTAAACCAAAAAAAGTTCCCAAGTAAAAATCCAACAGTTTCGAATTCTGAGCAATTCCAATTTTCCATTTAGTTGATCCTCGGTTATTCGTGTTCCACAGATAGCAATAGATCAAAATAATCGATGGATTCCTTACTGTATCTTCTCATCTCATCGACGATCATCGTTGGCGCACTTTTTGTTAGTTGGTTTGAATTTCACGGGGTGGTCAGCTTATGATCCAGCTGATGAGACATGATGAGCAGCTGATGAGCCTCCTTTGAGCCGTCAGTAAGACTCCGGCATAGGAAAAAATTTAAGACTTTCAAATTTCGCGATTTGATTTGTCTAAAAAATCTCCGTCTTAGAATCTTAGAAACTTAGAATCTTAAAATCTTAAAATCTTACAAGGGAAGTGTTGAGAATTTGCTCAAAATTTCTGAAAAGGTACTTTCAAGCATGCTGAATACGATTTCAGCAATATCTCGGTCATAACCATAATAAGAACCAAAATATGGGCTCTCAAAGTGTTTTCAGTACTAAATTTTGACCAAAAACTAGCATTTTTCAAGCTTTAAAACTTGTTTTTCAGGATCTTTTCGAGCGCGAAACTCATTTTTGAACATTTCTCTATTTCCTGCAGCTGTTTTTGGACATTTTCAAAAAAAAAATATTTTTTCTAAAATTTTTGAAAAAAATCGCCACGGGTTCCCACACACTCTAAAAACCATACTTGTAAAATTCCGGGCCCGGCCCGGAAGGCCCGGTGTCATAAATTCTGTATTTTTTAGCCAAATTTTGAGCTCTCAATATAATTTTTTCCATTTTTTTTTTCGTATTTCGGATTGTTTGTCTGTCTGATCAAAAAAGAGAAAAACTCGAAAAAAAATTTTTTGGTCGAAAAAAATCACATAAGGGTCCCCCCTTATGTGTTTTTTGAAAATTTCGAAACTAGTGAAATGACGGGCCGGGCCGGGCCTCCGAAATTCCGGAAAAAGCCCGGCCCGTACAAAGTACAGGGTGGCTGAAAAGTATTGAGACACTTGTTTTTTGTTGTATTTTCAAAAATGGAGTTTCAACAAAAGAACCAGATTTATTTTTTCAACAAATGATAGTAATAGAAAAGATATCAGAGGAGATATTCGAAGTTTGAGCCTTCGGCCTTGATGCACGCCTTCAAACGAGCTGGAACAGAAGCGACGGTGCGCCGGAGGTAGTCATCGTCAAGATCATCCCATGCTTTGAGCAAAGCGGCCTTCAGTGAATCCACATTTGGGTGCGATCGAGCCATCACCTTTTCCTCCAAATATCCCCAAACGGAAAAGTCGAGTGGATTCAGATCGGGCGAGGAAGCGGGTCACATGTCCTTGCCCCAGTAGCCAGGGAAATGAGCGTCGAGAACAGCTTTCGTGGATTTCGAGCCATGGGACGGGGCCCAATCTTGTTGAAGAATGAAGGGTTGCTGGCCAAAGTGGCTAGTGACCCACGGCCGTAAAACATCCATCAACACCAACATTTGGTACACATCCGAGTTGATTTTCACATTTCTATCAATGAAAACCAGTGGGACTTTACCTTCCGACGTCAATCCAGCCCACACCATCACTGACTTTGGAAAAAGTCTCTTGTAGGCCAGACGACGTTTTGGGGACTTTGCTTCGTCCTTTGACAACAATTGCCGAGCATTCTGTCGGTTCGGAAGCGGCTCAACCGTAAAAATTTTCTCATCAGTCCAAATGACTTCAGAGAGGCGGCGCACCTTGAGTGCGTCGAGCAACTTTTTCGCTTTTTCGAGCCGATTCTTCTTGGACTGTTCTGTGAGGTATTGGCCACGAAGGAGCCGATAACTGTTCAGACCCAAGTCCTTTTTCACAATGGATTGAACCGATTGTCTTGAGATTCCGAGCGATGAAGCCATTTGGTTCATGCTGACCGCATCATTTCGTGTGATTCTCTTCTTGATGATGCCACGAGTCCGGCGAGTGTTGACACTACGAGGTCTTCCGCTTTTCTTAAGCTCCAACACATGTCCTCGATCTTTCAATTGTTGCACAACTCGATAGACAGTTGCTCTCGGAAGAAGAAGTCTTCGAGCGATGTCACCGGTGGAGATGCCGTCGTTGAACAGCTTGGCAATGGTTTGGCGATGAGGAGAAGCTCGCATAACTTTGTGAAGAGATAAAGTGATGGGAAATGGCTCTAATGTCGGCTTATATACGCTCCCTATTTTCGAAAATACGACTTGGCACGGTGCCAAGAGCCATCATAACAAGTGTCTCAATACTTTTCAGCCACCCTGTATGCTAAAAACGATTTTTTGAAAAAATTTTTGAAAGCGCAAAAATGTCTTTCAAACACTCTGAAATGATAGAAACATTATTTTCACAAAATTTGGCAGCTCTATTTCGTCTGTGAGCCCTGATATTTTCCAAAATCTGCTAATTGCAAGAACTTTGAAAAGCCTTCTCCAATATTGCTCGAAATCACACGGAATACACAGAAATATATGAAGATCATTTGAGTGATCGATTTTGTGGTGTTCCACTCAAAAAAGAGCAAGACGGAGCAATTCCGAGAGTCAAAAGTTATGCTTTTGGGCGATAGAACCAGTCGAAAAAACAATATTTCAAAATTTCTTCAAAATTTCAAATGCCTTCTTCTCGAAAAAAACAAAAAAAGGTTTACCACAGTGGGGTTCGAACCACCATAGTCACTCTTAATGAGTCTCCCTCTTACCACAACACCACACAGCCCATATTTTCCTCTCGCGCGGAGGGCGTTTAGGATAGAGGGGCGTAGTAGAGAGAGGGAGAGGGCGAAATCGACCGAAAAATTTCAGACGAAGATTTTCAGCTTGTTGATGATACTATGACCTAGATTTTCTCGTCATCGTGTTGCGGATATCTCAAACTATCAGTACTGAAATTTTTAGCAAATTCTCAACGCCCCTCCGAAAACACTTCCATTGTTAGAATCTGAAACTTTTAAATATTTTTCAGACTTGTGGTAAAAAGAAGTCAAAAGGTAATACGAATTCCATTTCGACACCTGTCAAAAATTCCGTTCGAAATGCTCCAGAAAGTGCTCCAGATGCTCCAGGCGGGCCATCTCAAGAAAAAGCCCAAGACGGAGCACCGGAAAAACCGGCGAGCAAGATTGTCCAGTTAGAAAAGAAGGCCAGTGCTGCAAAAGTGAAGTCCGAGGGCAAAAAATCCCAGAAATCAAAGGAATCGAAGAAATCTGAGAAAAAATCCAAAAAATCCGAGAAGAAATCGAAGAAAGATTCAAAGAAGGAATCCAAAAAGGGTTCAAAGAAAGGATCAAAGAAATCAGAAAAGAAGGCGAAAACGGTCAGTGAGGAGCAGAGGCCAGATCGTCCGGAAAAGTTAACAACCGAGGAGAAAGCACCAGAAAAGCCGAAAACTGAAATTACGAAAGAGGCGACACCATCGAAGAAACCTGAAGGAGTACGGATTACTGTAGAAATTTGTTTTTTTTTAATTATGCGTGAAATCATGCTTTTAAATTAGCCCTTAAAGGTGGGGGGACATGAAAAAATAATGTTCTTGAAATTCTGTGTATATACGCCCCTCGAGGAGTCGAACTTCTGCGAGCGAGGATTGAGGGTGCGGCGCCGCTACCAACTGAGCTACACGGGCAAAGGAGTAGCGGGCGCCCGATGGCAAACATAAGGGTGAGGACGACCGCTGTACGCAGAGTGACATTAAGCGTTGTACACCGTTACGGTAGAATGCATACTCTGGCTACAAAAATCTTACGAAAAATCTCCTGTCCCTCCACCTTTAAAATTACTTTCAGTCCTTGGAAAGAACAAGAAATTCTTACGTAAAATATTATTTTTTCTTAAAGTTCGGAATTTTTATTATTTCGAAATTGTCACGCAAGAAATCAAAAAATAAAGTGAATTCCGAACTCCATAACAAAGTTTGTTGTTTTTGTAGGCCGCCGAAATCTCGAATCCCCTCGTGACACCTGAAACTGATGAATTCCCAACTTTGGAGGATGAAGCTGAGAAGACTAAAAATGACGGAGGAAAGAGTAAGAATGCAAAAGAGGGAGAGAAGAAGGCGGATAAGGACAAGAAGAAGTAGTTGAAGTGAACTTAATTTTAAGACTGTAAATGAATGGATTTTATTAATTTTCTATTTTAATTTCTGAAATTCTATTATCTTGAATACATCCTGAAAGCCTTGCATTTGTAAATTTCGAGATTTTTTATATTCTAAAATTTAGGGAGCCATCATAGATTTTTTTTTCAATTTTTTAATTGCGAAACGCCCAAAGCAACAATTTCTTTATTCGCACAGTTTTTCGATTTTTACGCTAGTTTTTTCACCTTTTTTTGTACTTTTCAATACTTTGAAAATTCGAAAAATGGAACGCAAAAATTGAAAAATTGTGTGCCTCTCAACTCCCAAAGCAACAATTTCTTTATTTTTTGGAAAGAATTTTCGATTTTTTAAAGCTGAAATTTAGTTTTTTTTTATTGTTAATGGAATTCTGGAACTTCAGGGTTATACTGATTTGAGACTGTTCTTTTGAAATTTTGCCTTTTTGGAATCTGAAATATTCTGGTGTAACCAATCCGAAAATTACTCTACTGATTTTTAGAACAAATTCAAAAAAAAATTAAATTGAGATCTGTTCTGAAACTTGATCATACCTGAATTTCTTGAAAATTATTCGAAATCCTTCTTCTTGATGATCTCAATTTCCCTTGTTTCATTGATTCCCTCTTTCTTCAATTTTGTGTCCATATCTCCTCTTTCATTTCCTTTTTCTTCTTTGTCCCCTCTCGTTGACCGTCGCCGAGAGAATCATCTCTCAACGTTCATTAATCAAATGTGATTTTTTGATCGCGCCAGTGATAGTACCGAATTGGAGAAGATGATCGGGATAAGAAAAAAAATGAAGAGATGGAACATAGCCAAATGTCAAAGATCTAGAAAATCATGATAAATAAAGGGAAGGAGATTCGCAAGAAACTATAGTGAACTACAGATAGCTACGTGCTTTCTTTGAAATCTAAATTTAGAAAAAAATATTCTAAAAATGCAATTTATAATGTCTACTGTGTAGCTGGTTGAATTACTGTAGCCATACAGGAGTTATACATGTCTACTATGTTTTTGGATTACTGTAGCGGTACATGAAGTTTACAACTTATCCCCTTGAGCAGATTTCAGAGAAAAAAGTACATTCTGTAGGCATTTTTTTTTCAATTTCAGACTTTTTTCTAGAAGAGAAAAAACTGATTTTTGTAGTCAATGAAAACCGCGACAGCTGTCTGTTTATCATAAATTTGAATAAATTACTCTTTCTCGCCCCCCAACCCCCCGTAAAAAGGGTCATAAAAACACATAAGAAGACGTTGGTCAAATTTGGTAAAGATCACAAGGAGGAACAGACCAAAAAAAAGAGATGATGTGAAAATTAGATTTTACTGGTATCGAAGGTGTGAAAAACAAGGTGACATGGAATTCGGTCACTGCGTAATGAACGGAAAGTGTAAAAATGATGGACAGGTTCGAAAAACTCTGCTTTTTAAAAATTGAGGAATTGATGTTGGGCAATTGGAAATCGGGTTCAAAAAAGGTTTCAAAAAAAATTTCCAGATTCTCAGGTACTGAAAAATCCCAAATTCCGAAAAATGGAAAGAAATAAAAAAATTTAGAAATAAAATTACAGATTTCATGACATTTCGGAAACCCCCAAATGTCTAAAATCAAATGAAAAGTGGATTTCTACTCGAAGAAACAGAAAAAATCGGAATAGAATATCGAAATTCGAATGTTCCGAAATTTTTAAAATCGAAATATTCCGAAATTCCAAAAATTTTAACTTTTAAAATTGAATTATTCCGATAATCCAAAATTCCGAAATTTGTGAAATCGGAATTTCCCGAAAATCCAAAACTCCCAATTTTTCAAACCAGAATATCCTGAGATTTTGAAATTCTGAGATTCTGGAATTCTGAAGTTTTGATTCTGGAATTCCGATACTCTAAAAATCTGAAACTCTAAAATTTCACGGATTCTGGTTTCTCGGAGATTCTGAAACTCTTCAGAAGTTCATTATTTCAAAAGTTCAGAATTTCAAGGTTTTCGAAATTTCAGAATCTCAGAATTTTCAGAATCTCCGAGAAATCAGAATCCGTGAAATTTTAGAGTTTCAGAAATTAAGAATATCGGAATTCCAAAATTGCAGAATCCCAGAATTCAAGAATCAGAATTTTAAAATTTCATAATTTCAAAATTTCAGAATTTCAGAATTGAAAAAAGGTGAAAATTTCCAGAACTTCTTAATGTCAAAAAATCCCAAGTTCAGAAAAATTAATACTTTCTAATTGACTGATAAGAAAGCTCCAACTTCCATAAAACTCCCAAATCCCAAGTTATAATCGATTTTCTGAAAATCCAAATTCTGATTTAAAAATTCAGGATTCCAGAATTCCAGAAGAGATCAGAATTCGGAAGTATCAGCTCCCCTGAAACACTTGCTCAAACAAAAAAAATTTTCCCATACACCCTCTCTGAAACTCAGTCAGACCGAACTCATGACGTTGTCATTTCGCGTACATTCTATGCAAATTGACCTCCTACTCCCTTCCCCGTGCTCCTTTCCGACTATCATCTATCAGAATTTTCTCCCACATCATCTTCTCACTTCTTTGTTTCTTCCGATGAAGTATCACAGAACACTCGCTCACATGGGTTCATCTTCAAAAGATCATATCACTTGTGGCTAAAACGAGAGAGTGCACGAATCTGAGAGACGCAGGCACCGATCGGTTCGTGTACGAACGACGACTGCGTCACGAAGTCAGTCTCGGGCGATTTTTGGAAATCGGAAAGAGGGAAAACGTAAAAATAGATGGGTACGAAATGAAACGAAGGAATTGAGTGTATTAATTTGATTGATGCCATTAGGATGGGTTCATTAAGATTGGATGAGTGCAAAGAGATCATCGAAGCAGCTTTTTGGACCCAAAAGCATCGATGAGGGAAGGAATCGGAATTCGAAGATTTTGGAGTTTGGGTTGTTAAACTGAACATTTCGAAGAGTATTGAAGGTTTTAACACAGAAAAACAACTTGTATATGGTTTGGAGCACGCTTTTTGGAGCATTTGGAGCATTTTTAGAGCAAAAAAATGTTAAATTTTTTTCTGAATGTGCAATTTTTTTTTGTGTTTTTAATCATATATTTCAGGAATTCGTTAATGAAAAAGTTTCTTCAGAGGCAAAAACAAAGAAATTCTGAAGTCCAGAGATTTTGAAATTCGGAAAATATGATATTCCGAGATTCTGAGCTTCCAAGATTCTATGCTTCTCAGATTCTGAGATTTCGAAATTCTGATATTCTGAGATTTTGAAATCTTGAAGAGATATGCAGAACATCAGAACTTCATATTTTCAGAATTTCAGATATTCAGAATTTCAGAATCGGAATTTTAGAAGCTCAGAGAATCTGAAGCTCAAAATCTCAGAATATCAGAATTTCAGATATTTTTAAAAAATTCTTTTAGTTTTCTTTTTTCCAATTCCTTTTGAATTCCAGAATTCTGATTTTTTTCTTCATTTTTCTTATTCCAAAACGAAAAACCAACTTAAATTCTCATTTCAAATTTCCCGCCAAATTTTGAATGATTTAAATTTGACCTCTAAAAAGCGCCAAAAGGTTCACAACCCGAAAATTGATCTTTTTGATTTTTGTCATTTTTTTGCAAGCAAAAAAAAATCAGAAGATTTTTTTTCATTTTTGAAGCTTTGATCTCGGACAAAATTGTTAAAAATTGTTTGATAATTGGATTTTTTTTGAGCTAGAAACTATTTTCAGCTCACTTTTATTGTCCTCCTACCAAGCTCCCCCTCATTTTAAGAAATTTCAAGATCCAGAATAAAATGTCTCAAATTGTTTCTTATCTTTTCTTTGCGTTTCTTTTTTATCCGTTATCGTTCTTTGCGGGAGACGAGAGGGGGGTTGGCTGACCATCAGAAAACTTGTGTCGTCAGTTCTACAGTATCATCACACACAATTTTTGGGAACCAACTTTTGATCCCCCAGCTCCGCCCACTTTTCAGACACCTATAAAAGTGCGGGTGAGTGATAGGGAGAGGAAACAAAACCTAGTTTTAATACATTCAACTTTTTTTGACAATATTTTTTCCCTTGTGAATACTGACGGTTTTTTTTCCAAATTTTTTTTTAAATTTCCAGAATGGTCGGTTTCTCAGTGTCCCGAAAGCTATCTCAAGCCCAGCAAACATCACCAGATGACCTGAATTTCAACCATAAGACTCGATTCATAATTCTTGTCATTGTCACGCTATGCCTATCGATTGCCCAGTCGGACACCCTGACTCTAAACTTCACAATCATTTGCATGTCTGGAGAGAGTGGAGGAGCACAAGTGAGCAATCATTCGGCACTTTCGAATTTGGAGGATATGGAAATGACACTAGTGAATGGATCGGGAAGTTTAAGAGAAAATGTAGAGCATATGGAACATAAAATTGCGGATGGACGGTACAATTATACACCATCGGAGAAGAGTTTGCTGTTTTCGCTGGTTGCTGTTGGAGCAATGGTTGCAGTGTATCCAGTCATGTTGTTGATTGGGGTGAGTGATTGTAAATTGCCTTTCAAAAAGTACGGTAAGTTAAAAATTGGGTTCCTAACAATGTAGAACGTCAATCTATCGTAAATGATATATTTGAACTTTGAGCTCAATTTTCTCAATTTCTATACAAGATATCGAAAATTCGGTCAGCTGATAAAATGTTTATCATAATATCGCAATCATTTATTAAACTGACACATGTTTGATATCTCTCATAGGAACCAAGATAATTAAGCTCAATTAGGTGATTGTACCGTATTTGCTCTAATAGATGCCCACTCTATAGGTTCACTTTGAACTCAATTATTTTGGTTCCTCTCAGTGATATAAAATATCTGCTAGCTGATAAAATATTGGTGATAATATCATAAATAATTTATTAGTTGATAACTTTTTCGAATCTTCGACGGGTACCGAGATAAATTGGCTCAACGTTAAAAATTGGAGGCTCCTCTATTAGAGATTTCAGGTGGTAGCCTACTAATGATGACCCATTTTAGTCTGCAATTTTCCAATAAGTCAAACGTTCTAGCTTAGCCAATAACCACAGCAAACCTCTAGTCATAAGTTCAACGCCTCCCGATGCTCCTACATGACCCACTTCTTTTTACTAACTCCTACTTATTTTACAGAAATTCGGCTCCCGCTCCGTATGCTTCTGGATGGGAATGCTCTCCGCAGTGACCACTGCTCTTATCCCATGGATGGCCTACATTGGATTCTATCCACTTTTGGTTATGAGATTCCTCCAAGGTGCTGGACTATCAACCGGTTTTACTTTGATCGGAATCTGCACTCGTCAATGGTCCATGCAAGTTCAAAACGCGCTTTATATTGCAGTTTTGACCACTTTCTTCCAGGTAGGAATAACACAAAACTAGATCTAAAAATTGTTTTTAAAATTGTCGATTTTTAGATCGGTCCCATTTTTACGATGCCAGTCGCTGGAGCCCTTTGCACGTCTTCCCTTGGATGGCCAGCTGTGTATTATATCCACGCAGTTGTCACTTTTGGACTCTTCGTTCTTTTTTACTTCTTCTATAGAGAGAATCCAGTCCGTCATGCCTTCGTCAGCACTAAGGAATTGGAGAAAATCCAGAGGGACAAAGGAGATGGAAAGAGAGAGGCCGTTCCACTCAAAGCAATCCTTACCGATCCAGTCATCTATTCCATTTGGGTTTCAGCCATTGGAAATTTTATGGGCATTCAGCTGACAATGCAATTCTCACCAACCTATCTCAACAAAGTCATGGGATTCCCAATTGAGCAAACTGGAACATTCAGTGCGATTCCACAAATTGTCACATTCTTCTTGAAGATTATTGCTGGATATGCAGCTGATAAGGCAAGATGTTGTACTCCACAAACGTCGGTGAAGATCTACAATAATTTGGCGTTGGGTGGAATGAGTCTTTCCTTCCTTGGTCTTGCTGTTATACCAACTTCTGAACCTGTCCTCGGACTGTGCATGCTCATTTTCTCGTGCTCGATTATTGGATTCAATTGTGGAGCCTTCTTTAGAAGCTCGGCTATTTATGCGGCGTGAGTTTTTATTTTTATTTTTGTTGAATCAGTTTTTTTACTAAAAAGCTTGAACTCAATTATCTCGTTTCATATGAGAGATATAAAAAATTGGTCAACTGAGAGAATGTTAGTGATATTCTGATAAACACTTTATCAGTTGGCTAGTTTTTGATACGTTTTATAGGAACCGAGATAATTGAGTATTAAAAGCATGTAGTGGGCTTCTATCAGAGAAGATACGGTATTTTTCAATTCACAGAATCTAGCACTCCATAATCCAGAACTTCCTCTTTGTTTCGAAAAAAATAAAATTCATGAAAAACGATAGAACAGAAATCAGTGTTGCAAAAAGTCAAACATGTGAAAATGGGTTGCGGGAAAACAGATTAAATTCTGGAAAATTTTGGAATTCAGTTTTTTATCGAAAAGTTCGAATTTCAATTTTTCGAGAGAAAAACAAAAATTCACAAGATGAAAGGTTAAGGAAAAATCCAATGATCAGAAATTTTGAAATTCTGAAATTTTAAAAATATGAAACTAGGAAATTCTGAATGTAAAAAATTCTGAAATTCTATTATCCTGAGATTCTGATATTCTGGAGTTCTGGTATTCTGAGATTCTGATATTCTGGAGTTCTGGTATTCTGAGATTCTGATATTCTGGAGTTCTGCTATTCTGAGATTCTGAAAGTCTATAAATCTAATCTTCTTCGAATCTGGGAATCTAGGAATCTGAAAATCTAGGAATCTCATAATCTCAGAATCTAGGAATCTAGGAATCGAGGAATCTAGGAAACTAGGAATCTAGGAATCTAGGAATCTAGGAAACTAGGAATCTAGGAATCTAGGAATCTAGGAATCTGAAAATCTAGGAATCTCAGAATCTCAGAATCTCAGAATCTAGGAAACCAGGAATCGAGGAATCTAGGAAACTAGGAATCTAGGAAACTAGGAATCTAAGAATTTAGGAATCTAGGAATCTGAAAATCTAGGAATCTCAGAATCTCAGAATCTAGGAATCTAGGAAACGAGGAATCTAGGAAACTAGGAATCTAGGAATCTAGGAATCTAGGAAACTAGGAATCTAGGAATCTGAAAATCTAGGAATCTCAGAATCTCAGAATCTAGGAAACCAGGAATCGAGGAATCTAGGAAACTAGGAATTTAGGAAGCTAGGAATCTAGGAATCTAGGAATCTAGGACTCTAGAAATCTAAGAATTTAGGAATCTAGGAATCTAGGAACCTAGGAATCTAAGAATCTAGGAATCTAGAATTTTAGAGATCTAGAAATCTCAGAATCACAGAGTCTCAAAATCTCAGAATCTCAGGATTTCAGAATCTCGTAATCTAGAAATTTAGGACTATAGGTATCTAACAAAAAGAATCCGGGAAAATAGGAATCAGAAAATCTTGGAATCTCAGAATATAGGAATCTAGACATCAGAAAATCTCCGAGTTTCAGAATCTTAGAAGCTTGGAATCTAACAGTACAACAATTTTCATCTTTTCCAATTAGAATTTTTTCAGCCAACACAATCACTTCATCATGGGTGTCAACTCATTCCTCAACTGTCTCGCCTCCCTCATCGCTCCCGTAATCGTCAAAATTTTTGTCACAAATGACACATGGGACGAGTGGTGGTGGGTGTGGATGGTCTATTTCGTCGCACTTTTCATCTTCAACATCGTCTTCCAAATCTGGGGTAAAGGTGTTCCAGCCGAGTGGACCAAACCAGGTTACGGTAACAAAAATGCGGTTGGAGACGTTGTTCCATCAGTGCCGAAGGCTACAAATGGAGTGGCGGTGGAACATGATGGAAGAGTTTAATTCAAAGATCTTTTCTTGTATTTTCATTAAGAACACATTGTATACGGAGTTATATAGTTAGCCCAAATCATTAACCAAAAAGCTTTAAAATATCCCTTTAAACTACTGGTATATTTTTCTTAGTCACTGTCCTAGTCTTACTCGAACTCTCCTTTAAAAACAAAATTATTTTAAAACAAACTATTTCATTGTACATTCTCAATAAAATTATTGCTCATTCTTCTGGCGAGACGCCACCAAAATCTTTGAAAGGCTCCAAGCCACCTGGCTCAACAAAAATAAAGAAAAATAGAAAGATAACTATAGAAGAGACACAGAAAACAATTGTGGAGCAGGAAACCAAGTGATCGCATTGGCCAGTCAGAACGACGTCAAAACTCCATAGTTTTCCAATGATTACACTGAAAATTTGAGAGCTTAGACAATCTGATTATACCCAGTGGCATCTAAAGCAACTCCAATGAAAATAAAGACCCTATAATGCTTTTACAGCTGAGTCGCGCAATGGCTAACAGGTTTGACTTTGAAGTGAAAGTTCTCAGGTTCCATTTTTTTTATGATAATTTTTTTCTTATTTTCGTTTAGAACCAAAAAAGTATCGTTAAAAACTCACGTCACAATGAGAACCACTCTTGCTGCTGTCATTGACCACAAAAGGGTTCTAGATGAGCTCCTTAATCGATCCTCCTCCCATTTCTTGATCGTCTCTGTGCTTGAAAATAAATATGATATTGGAAAACCTTTCTCGAATGTTGCCATATTTACAAGACGTCTCCAGAAAATCAACCGATCAACTACAATGAGCAATGCAATGATAATCATCAATAGTGGAAGATATGGTTTTCCGGAGCAACTATCGATTTTCCAGACACCGATCAAAAAAATGTACATAGAGATATCAGGGGTTTGCAAAAGTAATGCGCGTTTTTGATGCAACTTCCTTTTATTGTAAAACCACAACAAGAGATCATCAATCAATAAGATATTCTCCATTATTGTTCACTACTTGCTGCCAACGTGTGCGCAATTCAGCGATGCCTTTCTTGAAGAACTCCTCTGGCTGTGACTCGAAATAGTCCGCCACCCAAATTTGCACTTCTTCACCGCTTTCGAATTTTTCTCGGTCAGATGATGTTGCATGGATCGGAATAGGTGATAGTCCGATGGTGCCAAATCGGGACTATATGGCGGATGAGGCAGCACTTCCCAGCCCAGCTCCTGAGTTTTCTGCTGAATGATTTTTGCAGTGTGTGGTCGAGCGTTGTCATGGAGCAAGAGTGTTGTCGAAGTGTCCACGCCTTGGCGTTTGAGAGCTTGGTCCACACGGTCCAGCTGATCTTTGTAAAGGTCCTCATTCACCGTTTGACCAGGTCTCAGAAGTTCAAAATGCACGAGACCTCGTGTGTTCCACCAGACACATATCATCACCTTCTTTCCGTGGATGTCCGGTTTTGGAGTCGGTTTCGGGGTCTCGCCAGGACTCAGCCACTGTTTTTTTCTCTCATTATTGTCCCACTGAATCCATTTCTCATCCGATGTCAAAATCGAATCGAAGAAACCACGATTTTTTGGAGCGGCGCATCAGAATATTGTCAACTTCAACACGTCTTTCCTTGTTCGAATCGGAAAGCTCATGAGGGACCCATTTTCCACATCTGTTTGTCTTTCCGATTGCATGCAAATGTCTGGAAATTGTGGAAAAATCGCAGTCGAACTGCTCCGAGAGACTGAGAGTAGTTTGGCAAGGGTCCACTTCAATTGCTGCTCTCAAGGCATCGTTGTCCACCTGCTCTGGACGACCAGGGCGCGATTCATCTTCCAATCTTTCATCTCCGCTCCTGAAGCGCTGAAACCAACGGCGACACTGACTTTCGGATATAGCTTCTTCACCGAATACAGGAGAAAGTGAGCGGTGAGCTTCGGCAGCCGATTTTCCTTCCTTAAATTGGTCGGACATCTTCTAGAATGTTTTTTTTTCATAGAAATCAAATTGAAACAGCAATATAATATAACAGAATGAAGCCCAAGAACGCGCTTTTTAAAACAAAAAAAATTGAACACAAACCGTTTGTTTTGGGTGAGATACAAAACACCAAACTTGACGCGCATTACTTTTGCAAACCCCTAATAGCAAGGATAAAGGCATTGAGCATGCGAAGAATAACTGAAAAATTTCCAATGTTAAGAAAAGGAAAAAGTGAATCGATGAAAAACTCACAGGCTGCTTCCTTCTTTTTTCTTCTTCTGATCAATAATGCTCTCATTCCTATTTTTTGAAGTTTTAAAATTAGAAAAATTGATTCAAAACTAAAGAAATGAAAACAAAAGAGTGAGAATTCCGGTTTTTAAAATAGTGAACAACACCGAACACAAATGTCGTTCTTGTGTTTTTATTCGATTTGTGACAGAACGTCTGTTTTTTTAATTTTCTAGAAAATTTCTCCTTTTACATTGTCTGAAAGTTTTACTGCAAGAAAAATCACAAAAAATTTATTATTTCCAGTTTTATAATACAACTTTGTACATTACATCATTGCTCATTCTCCGGCCACCATCAATCGATTCAAACAAGCCACCAGAGTTTTTTCCAAGCTTCTCAACCACTCAGCACAATAAAAATACATGGTTCCAATGAAGAAAAATAGATAGATAATTATAGAAAATACACAGAAAATAAGTGTGGAATAGGAAACCAGGTAATCGCATTGGTCATTCATAACGACGTCAAAACTCCACAGTTTTCCTATGAGTGCGCTGGAAAATTTTAAAGATCAGAGTCGAACATTTTTTCCAGTTTCGACTATTTTTCTGTTTGAATTCCACCAAAAGTTGTTAGAAAATTCAGAGTTTACCCAATTTGATTATGTATTTAGAGGCGCCTAAGAGGAATATACACAAAGAGCTGAAAGGGCACATAGGCTCGCGTGGCGTAATGGCTAACAGGTTTGACTTTGAAGCGAGAGGCCTTTGGTTCAATTATTTTAGGGACAATTCCTTTTTTATTTTTGTTTGAAACTCACGCCACAAAAATCGCCACTCTCACTGCTGCCATCAATCCCAAAAGTGTTCTCGATGAGCTCCAAACTCGATTCTCTTCCCAGGTCTTAATCCGTTCTACACTTCCAATGAGACTTGGTCTTGGAAACGTCTTCTCGAACTTTGTTTCATTTACAAGACGTCTCCAGAAAATCAATCGATCAATTACGATGAGCAATGCGACGATAATCATCCATGGTGGAAGATATGGGCTGCCGGGGCAACTGTTGATTTCCCAGAAACCAATTACAAGGAAATAAAGAGGAATTGCGAAGAAAAATACATTGGAAATCAGGAGAAGAACTGAAAATTTTGAATTTTAAGAAAATCTCAAAAGTTGTTAAAATCTTACAAACGGCCTTTCGCTTTGCAATTTTCTTGATCGAAATTGTTCTGAGCGGCATTTTTTGCAATCTGAAAAAAATTATAAATTTGAAGAAAAAATCAATTTTCGAAAAGACACCAAAAAAGACAGAAATAAGTAAGATCTGGTTTTTTCAATTTAAAATTTCTACCTTGGGTTCTTCTTATCTTATCACATTTGATTTGTGGTCAAACATCTAACATAGAGGAACATCCAATTTCAAAAAAAAATACTTATCGAACAATTTTTTCACAATTCTGGGCAAAATTCTTGAGTATTTAACCCAGAAAAGCGGGTAGAAATTTTCAAGTCGAGTACGAAAAACAGAATTGAATTCGCGTAAATCAGAGTACGAAACTGGAATCAGACGAACTGATTCAGGTCTCAAAGACGTCAGAAAATTTCCAAATTTCAGACGTCTGTACCACGTCAGCAGGTTCTGGAGTCTTAATCATAATTTTAATCAGAATCTTAATCATCCTTTCTTGTCATTTACCATGGTGGCCTAACTTTCTTAACATGGTTTTCCTAGGCCACCGTAGTTCCTGCTCCAGAAATGGTCTAACATGCTTCTGATGTGTTCTCTAGGTCATTTCAACCTGGTGGCTTAACTATTGCGAGTTGAGTTTTCTAGGTCATCATGGTAAATGACCTAAAAATGGCTTGATAGTCACCCGGTGTGCTTTCTCAGAAATTTTTACATGGTGGTCTAACTTCCTCAACGTGACTTTCCTAGGCCACCCTAGTAGCTGGTGGCCGGATATTCACCTGGTGTGTCTTCTACGGCATTTCAACATGTTTACCTAACTTTTGTAAGATGAATTTTTCAGGCGACCAACATTTATAGTTCTCAAAATATACAAACAAGAGCCAATATCAAAAATTCATACTTTATACCAAAATTTTCACATTATTGAATGCCCATCTCTTCATCAATTGGATGATATTTTGCCATCTCATATATCCATGATGTCCAACTTCTAGGAAAAAATAAGAAAAATGCAAAATACAAAAAACCAAAACAAGGGAATTATAGTCGTTTTGTTTTTCTGCCAATTCGATCATTTGTACTTGTTCGCGATAAATTTTCAGTGCCGGGTAGCTGATTCTAAAAAAATCAATTTTACAGTGATATACCGTGAAACCTGTAATAGAAGGGCTTCCACACTCTCAAGTTTGAGCTGATTTATCTCGGATCCTATGCAGGATATTAAAATGAGGTCGACTGAAGAAACGTTTCTGATATTATAATAAACTATTTAACAGTTGACAACTTTTTCTATCTTTAACAGGGTCCAAGAAAAATTGACTTGAATTTAAAAGGGGAACCTTCTATTACTATATTAGGTTGATGCAAAAGTTTCTTCCAATTTTGGCAACATTTTTGATCAAACTTTTCTCAAAGCGGATGGGGCTAGATTCATGAAAGGGATGTTCATGAGCATTGATAGTTGTCTGGCAACGCCCTGGTCATTCCTGAATTCCATCGGCCCAGAACGACGAGGGCTGCGATTGAAAAAGTGGGTCAACTTCTTTTTTGTGTCATCTTTTTAATTGAAGTCTTTTCTATCAAGTTGACGAGTAAGAGTCCCAAACAACCATTCATCCGAAAGGGCAAGGTCCGAAAAATACGGAGGGTGCAAAAGAATAGTCCACTCAAACGACTTGAGTTTTTGGCTGATACCTCTAGACACGGGTGGTCTCGCATTGTCGAGCTGGAAGAACCCTTGGCCATTTCTCCTTGTTTCGATACGACTGCCAGATTCATATTCTTTGATTATGAACTATATATTGTGGAAATTATATTGGTACATTCATCTAAAAGTTCCCAGTATCCACTCCTTTGACAGCCCACCAAAGACAGCATCCCCAACTTTTGAGTAAAATTAGGTTCCGGGATGTCCAGGGCTAGCTGTTACTTGGCAATCAACTGACCCTTCCACATATTGTTAGAGTAACTTACCGACTTATTATCTACGGTAATTAGATCATCCACCCAATTGAACGTGCGAAGAAACGATAGGAGAAACATGCACATGTCTAAACGACGATCCATAACATATTTCTTCAAAACATTGTGTACGAATCGACCCAGTTCTTGAAGTTGCCATGAGACTTTAATCCAGTCACAATACTTGGTTGACTAACGGACAATGCCTTTGACGTTTAACGGGTGGTTTGTAATGGATCGGCTTCAACAGTTGTGTTTAATAGGTCCAAGTCCAACTTCGGGACCGAGTTCCGTATTTGACTTCAAAATGTTTGGCTAAATTGATCGGACCAGTGTTTGATGGTAGGAACAACAAGAGATATTCCTTCATCTCTTTCTTTCATTTTCTGATGAATATCAGAGTTTTTCAAACCAGGAACGAATAAAATAAAATGACGTTTCGAAAATGTAGACGGTGTAGGTCGAAAGAAAGCGGCATGCTCGCGAACGACAAGAAGTATTAGAGAGGCAAAGTGTATATAACTAGTCCATGTGATACTCTATCCGACCAAAAACATCCTCCAAGAAAAACCATCCCACTGACAAGATATGAATTCTCAAAGTGGACCATTCAAAATCGGAAGAAACTTTTGCATCAACCTAATAATTACTCACAAAATTAGGAACCCGATTCTTACGATCTTCATCAAAATCTCCAATCTCCATCTTCGTTTTCTATAGTCATGTTCTAGAATATCCGACGCTGATCCTGCGTACTTTTTCTCCCATTTCGCATCTTCATAACATTCAAACCAGTACATTGCATTAAAAAATAAAAAACCATCACGAAAGCTGTGAAAAAAGCCCAGAATGATAGGTTATGATCCATGATTCCAGTAGTGATAAGGAATACTGGTGATGATTGATAAAGAAGGTTGATAAGAATGAGGATGCCTGGAAAGTTACAAGTTGATTGGAATAAAAATTTAAGAGATATCTTACAAATCGCGCCATTTTTACCATTTTTACCATCAGATTTGTAACTCATTATTCAGCGAAAAAATGAATTGAGAATGAGAAAAACGATTTGGTTGGTTTGGGTACTTTGTTGGGGATTATTACACAGGTGTGGGATCATTTCGAAGAATACAGTACTGCTAGGTACTGTATTCCCATTAAAATAACAATTTAAAAATTGAAAGTTTGCTTTCCAAAATCTTTGCAAAGTTTGAACTTTCAATTTCATGACTCATACAACATATTCAAATTTCGAAATATTCAACAAATTTCAGATCTTCGATCGAATAAAAAAATGTTTGTCCTCAAACTGGTTCAACTATGTTAAAATAGGAAAAAACATTAATCCCATAGGCATTTTTTTGTTTTTCCAACCAAACAATATTTGTCAGGAATTGTCATGTTTCTAGGTTTAAAATAATAAATTTGTGTATAAAATATGAAAATATTCTCAGTTTTTCCAGGAAAAACTTGTCAAAATGAATGCACCAGCAACAGAAAATAATAAAAATATGGCTCGCTGTAAGTTTTTTTTTTTAAATTTATCGTCTAAAAATTCGAAAATCTAAAAATCTGAAGTCCTGAAAATGAGAAATTTGTAAATTCCGAAGTTCGAAAACTTAAAACTTTAAAAGAAATCAAAAGTCAAACAATTCGAATGTCGAAAAATTAAACAATTATTTAAAAGTTCAGAAATGCAAAAATTTTGGAATTCAGAAATTGAGAATTTCGAAAATCCAAAATTCGAAATATCAAAAGAAAAGTAAAACATCTGGAAATTCAACTATCTGAGCATTTTAAAATTCCAAAATTCGTAGTTCGAAAATTGAAAAGTTCAGCAAATCAGCAAATCGGCATTTTAAAATGCAAAAATTAAAAAATTTGAAATCTAAAAAAATCAGAAGTTCAGAAAATAAATGATTCCAAAATTAAAAAAAAAAGATATTACGAAATTCAGAATTTAGAAACGTGTTTGAGAATTTTGAGAAGTTAAGAAGAGTATCAAAGTCTTTCAGTTTGAAATTCAGAATGTTTCAACAAATCAATATATGTACTAGACTCTAGAAACCATTTTCGAAATTTCAAAATTTTATGCCAACTAAAACCATTTTGAATTTTACATCAATTATTTCAGATTTCCTTATTGGTTGTTTCATAATTTGTGTGGCCCCAGTCGTCTATATCTGTGCCATTGGTTTTCTGATGTCTCTTTTCGAAGGATATCTAGCCGATTTGACCATAATTCACTTGCTCACAGTCATCTGTTTGTCAATTTATATATACATTTATTTTAAGGAATTAAAAGAGCAAGCCAAATTTCAAAAAAACTTGAATCTTTCAAATTTCGACGAAGAGAAGTATACAAAAGCCAAGATGATTCTAAAAGTCGTATTATTTTTTTTGTAAGTTGAAAAATTCGTTTTGAATTCGAAATTTTGTGTTTTCAGAACGTTATACGGATTCTATTTTTGTTCTGGACAACTCAGCTACGCGGGAGTTTACAATCCTCGCTACGATTTTTATTTTCAATCATTGATTTTTTGTATAATTTTTCTGGTTTTATTTGGTCTACAGATTGCTAGCTTTTTGTGTGGAAAACTAAACATCCTACAGAAATTTATTAATGAGAAGATAGTGGAAAGTTTCAAAACTTTGATTTGATCATGTTCTGTTTGTTGCGTATTATAATTTCAAATCTTTAAAAAAAATCTTTAAAGAGTGAGGACATGAAAACATTTATTTCTCAAAATCGAAAAATTCCAGAAGAAGCCAAAAGACAGTTTCAGATGATGGCAAATTCAACTCCAGTGGCACACAGAGACACAAAATGTTGACAATTCCTCAAAAGAATATTGTAGTCTCCATCGCGAAATTTATCGGCAGCTAATTCTTCTGCTTTCTTTGCGATTTCCTCTCCAGTCCGAATACGCAATGGCAAATACTATATTTATTAAGTACAGGAAAAAATATTTCTGAACCAACAAACATTGCGGATTTGATGAAAAACTCCTCTCGTGGATTATTGAAATCATCCGCGTAGATGAGCATTCCAAAACTGACAAAACATCCGTAAAAAATTCTGAAAAATTAGA